CGTTGTGACAGGCATTCACTGACTTCTTCCCACCTTTCTCACATGACTTCAGGAAAGACTTGTAGGCAGCTTTCAAATCTGGTTCAAGTCCACCTGTCAGCCAAGAAACCAAAACATTTCAGTAAGGACATGATAAAACAGCTAGGAGGTCTCTCTGCTTTGCAGCATGCTTCCCTTCCCATTGGAAATAGAGCATCCCTCTCTCTAGATACCACAGTCAACATTTAGGACTTCAGAGACACCACCATTGTCTCAGTGACAAAGGTTTTGCAATGTCTTTGACTTAGGAAACTCTCCTCCACTCATAAGTAATCACAACAGCACCTGTAACCAAAAAATAAGCCAAACCAACAAAACACTCTTTCCACTACTATATCCATGGATTTCTTACTTACATGAGGCAAATATTTTGCCAGTATACCTACACATGCACTGAAACTGTTACTAGTTTTGAGCTACAGTACAAATATTTTTCCTTACTAGTATTGTCATTTGGAAGATGTTCCACTCATTTAACTGCTTCCCATTACTGTACCAGCAAATACATTTTGGGCAGACTCGGGGGCTACCTAGGTAAGCAGGGTTACCAGTCAGTGACTTTCTTACTTTCTCTAAAAGAGAAGAAATCCTAATCTTAAGAACTGAACACACTGCAACACTGAGCCCTGGCTATACTTACCACTTATACAGATGTAATTATAAAAAAATAATACACGTGGTTAACCTACAGCTGATACTTCAGAAGGAAGTATCCACCCTTCCCCTGCTTTTATGAGGTGACCATGAAAGGGGTGGGACAGGGGCTCCTTCAAGGTCAGGATGACACGCAGGTATTCGGGGGGTCGGGTATAGGAATAGGTGGTCAGGTATTGACACAGGGAGTTGGAGGAGTCGCCATCCCTGGAGGGGTTTAAGAGGTGTCTGGATGCGGCGCCGGGTGATGTGGATTAGGGGTTACAGTGACAGTGCTGGATGAACGATTGGACTGGATGATCCTAAAGGCCTCTTCCAACCTTGGTGATTCAATTCTCTGACTCCAGGCGCTAGGCACCTTTACAAAAGCAAGAGCCCCCCCGGCCCACCTTTGCCGAGGGCCTGATAGGCCCCCAGCTTGTAGCAGCTCTCGCTGTGCCCGTGCTCCTCGCAGTTGTCGCGCATCACCCGCGCCGCGGCCGCGAAGTCCTTCTTGATGGTGTCCAGGTAGTCCGCGAAGCGCTGGCAGCCTGCGGGGCACGGCACAGGGGCTGAGCTCCCGCCGGGCCCGCCGGGAGCGGGGGGCGGCGGGGCCCTTACCGTCCGGGTCCTTCTCCTTGAAGCACTGGTAGCTGTACTCCACGTGCAGGTTCTCCAGGTACGCCCGCACCTCCCCTGTCCGCGAAGTTGATGAACCGGCCATGACCGGCGCCGGGCACCGGGAGATCGCGGGGCCGCTCCCGCAGGAACGACCGTTCCTGCGGCACGGACGCCTTCCCGGCCGTCCTCCGGCACTCCTTCTGCTCCTTCTCCTCCGCCCTTCCCCGGCCGCTCTCCCGGCCATCCTTCTGCTCTTCTCCTCCCGCCCTTTCCCGTGCACTCTGCTCCTTCTCCTCCCGCCCCTTCCCCGGCCACTCCCCCTGCTCCTTCCTCGACCGGGCATTCCTCCACCGCTCCTCCCATCGCCGCTCCCTCCCGCGCTCACCGGGAACTCTGACAGTTCGGCAGCTTTAAGCGATAGCACGCTGTTAGTATTTTACTCTCAGTTTTGTATCACTGGATGCGTATTCCCGGTCTGATTCGGAACACTCCAGTCCACAAGTTGAGACATGTCTGAGACTGAGACAATCGAGACTATGTGCATTAATGCGCTCTGTATGGCTTACGAGTCACGGTTGCTTCCCCCATTCCCCCATCTGCCTCCCGCATGCTTTTGTCTGGATTAACAGCTCCTTAATTTCCAACTCAGAACGGAGGAGTTGCGGCGAGAGACTGTTCTCAGCCACCGCCCCTTTCTGTGGTGCCACAAAAGCTTGGAGGTGCTCTTGGAAGAGCTGGAACCTGACACCGAGTGTCTCTGAGCTGGCAGTGTCAGGAGCGCTAAGAACACTCAGGGACTGGTAAGAGCTTAACACACATCAAACCTTCGTTCTCCAGTGATCCGAGAATCACGAAATGGCTTGGGTGGGAAGGGACCTTAAAGCTCATCTTGTTCCTGCCATGAGCAGGGACATCTTCCACTGGGCCAGGTTGCTCCAAGCCCCATCAAACCTGGCCTTGGAACACTTCCAGAGACACTGGAACACTATGGATGAACTTAACCCGAATGTGATATTAGAATACTTACACAAAACATGGCACACTATCCAATTCCAGCAGTTTTGAGCACAAACCGAATTTTCTGTAAAGCAGCACATTAGAAATTTATGCGATGAATTGCTTAGAGTTAAAATTAATGTGAAAGTATGCTTGAGTTAAAATGAATTACAGAGAATATTTGCAAATGCTTTGTCCCAAAGTATTTCAGTAGGATAAGACCGGCTTGCCAAGTTTTTGGGATAAATAAAACTCAGTTAAATCCTGTGCAGAGGGTCCCATAGGAAAAAGCCCAATCGTTTATTAAGGGCTGGAGCTAATTGTGACCAACCATCATCAGCCAGACTGGCAGCAAACTCAGCTGGGCACATGGCTGAAACACCAGTTACAGCTTCTAAAGTATTTCCCTAAAAGTTTTCAGACTGCTCTAAATTTGGATTGCAGTTAAAACACATTTTCCATAGGAAATAAAAATCTTGTGTTCAAAATGTATTGACCCAAACCCACTAGAGAACACAAGTAAGAAGATACACATCATTTGGTCCATGCTGGCTGCGATTGGAGACTGTGGGAAGCTTGTGTTCTGGAGAGGGCTTTTGGAAAATTAACTGATTTTGTACCAGAAATATTGTTTCTTTGAAAAAACATCTTTGAAAAACATTCCAGTTTGCACAGAGTCACTAGAAATTCCTTGAGTTTGTTGGTTTAAGTCTTTGAAGAGTGTGCTCCTGCTGGGATTTTGCCTTTGCAGTTTCTGATGCCGATGTTGAGCCGGTGCCAACTCAGCCATACGGCCTCTCCAAACTAGGAATGGAGTCACAGAGAGGATTCCCAAGTACAGCGGGGCAGGCCAAGAACTGGCACTGGGAGCAGGGGATCAGTCTGTCACTTCAAAGTTTTCACTGTCTGAGCCCAGACAGGAGAAAGGAAGATAGTTTCTATCATAAATCCATATGGAATGAGAAAGAGAAGGTGACATCTGTGCAGAAGTTGGGAGTTAATCAGTGAATTTGTTATATAGGTATCAAAAGAACAGCCTGGAAGTTTGTAAAGGCATTAGGAAGTGGATGAAACTCATAATGGACCAAGAATAATAAGACCAGCTCCTTCCTAATCTAAGCTAATTTCTGTGTTCATAATAATATAAATTATTTCTTCAAAGGAGATTAGATTTTTAAGTTAAATTCAGAACATGAAGACTCTTAATTCTGTTCTTGTCAGATCCAGAGTACATAATTTATTTTCTCTACATCAACACCCTAATCTAAAGAATTGGGACTATAACTGACCCTTGTTATGTAGTCCTTAAACAGGCAAAACTGTGCTTCATAGTATTTTTAGAATATTTTGTCAGCTTGCAATGACAGAAATGTAAGTTATTTTAGCAATTATACCTTAATATGTATTTATGTGTCTTGCTGGTTTACAAATAACAGTTATCCAAAGCTTCTGTATGTAGAATCAGCATTTCTTCAAGAGTAAACTCTTTATAAATTCATTTTATTTGGTCGGGGTACTTGCATTACTCTTTACTTTGTATCCTGAAACAAAAAATAACTCTATTCCCTTTACAAGCAATACATTGCAGTACGTATTAGTCGGGAGACAGGTTTTCCTCACTACTACTATATCTGAATCCTGAAATTACTTTGTTTGTAATAGTTTATTCCTTATGGCAAAGCTCCTCTCCAAAGTAAATGGCAAAAGCGACTGTAGTGGTGCAGGCTACTATTCATATTACCAGAATAAACTAGTTCGTTCAGGAAACACTTAAATTTCAGAGGCTTGTGAGCACGAAGCAAGAAGTGACGCCAGTTCATGGCTGTGAGAGGTCCAGACACAGGGAGCTGCAGCTCACCTGCTCCAGCCCGGGCACCCCTGGTGCCTCGGTGTTCCCGAATCCTGGCTCCAAACCCGGAGCAACCAGGCGGCAGGAAGGTTCCCCGCACACAAGTAACCAGCGAGGCCGATGCGTTTTGCTGAGCAATGGCCCCTATTCCTCACACTCTGAGCCTCGGAGAAGCTCCGCTCTCCCGGCACCCCACAAAGCTGGGCCGGCGCAGCCCCTTTAAGGGAGGCGGGCTTGGCGTCGCGTCCCGGCCGGCTCAGGCACATTCACTTCCAGGTCGGGGAGGTAAACACCGGGGAAGGGAGGGAGGAGAGAAGAAGAAAAAAAAAAAAAAAAAGGAAAGAGCAGCAGAGGCACTGCTTGAA